TGATTCTGTGATTCTGTGATTCTGTGACTGTAGTTCTGGTCTTAGTCCCGGCCTGGACTCACTGCTGGACCTTCACTAAATTCAACAAAGATGAGTTGAGTAAAGAAAGAGTTAGGTGAGGATTATTTTTTAATTTGCTGCCTATCTAGTTGTTGCCCAGATTTTATTTTTGTTCACCTGACATCTTTTCCCTAAGTGTAGAGCTCCACACTTGTCTTTTATACTATTTCATCATTTCAGTGTTGCAGTATTTTTCTAATTTATTATTTTCTAATTAAGAATTTGTTTTTATTTGTAATCCTGGCTTCCATGGTGATAACAGCACCTCACTGTTTCTGTCATTCACACATTATAAAAGTGCATTTTCTGGTCATGTATCCAACTCATTAATAGAAATGTTGAATAGCGCTGGATCTGTAAGAGTCCCCTCATTGCCCTCACTAGATGCATTCCCTGTCTCTGACAGCAAGTGGCTGTAATTGTATTTTTTCAAGTTTTTTGAGCAGTTTTTCAACAAGTTGTTTGTCCGCTCCATAGTGACTTCCTTCTGATAAGATAGCACAGTGTAATGTATCATGAGAGAGAAATGTGTCTTCTTCTTCATGTGTCTTTTCTTCAAAGGGCAGGTTCCTTAATCCTCTCCAGATACTACAAGGAAATAATTGTTCTTAATTAAGAGTTTGATTAAACTCTGGACATTTAGTAACCAAGTCATTTAACAGCTACCAGTTCTGGTTTCCTACATATGCTCTACTTTAAGATAAGATTGAGAGATACAGTACATTACTACAGCAAATTCTAGCACCTATATTCTAAGTAGAATAAAACCACTGTAAATATGTATTGTTAGTGCTATGCCATTATAGTAAGGGGGAAGGATGGAATAAGAATAATCTCAGTGCCCTTAAGGAGTTGAGATAGAGGTGAACTGACTGTATCAGAGTGAGGAAAAAGAAGATACTGCTTGCTGGAAAGGAAGAGGAGTGGTAGGAGAGCAGCCTCTTGGGAAGTGCAGGAATCTTTCACCATTAGGAGCTAACAGCTCAGAATAATGGTAGTAGGCATTGATGGTTGCTAATTAGAAATGGGGGCCACAATGAAGTCTGAGTCCCAGCTCTCCTTGAGGGGGAGAATCACTTTTGGAACAGAATGCTCTTCAACATATACTGAGAATAGTTTGTAGTTCACAAACTGGCAGCACATTTTCCTCTCATATTGGCCCAAACTTTCTAGCTCCTCACTTCTTTGGATCCACTGCTTCCTTTTTGGCTTCCTGTAAGGAAAGTGCCTGCCTGTTTCTGTCCTTCTTCTCTCTGCAAGACAAATGCTTTTGTTCAGTTTTATTCCTCTCCTGCAGCTTCACAGTTTGATTTCAAGCAGCAGGCCAGGCTGGCCTCCTGGCCATCCTTGGATTACTGCCGCAAAACTACTTCTAAAACTGGATGAGAGAAAGCCTCTTCTCTGCCTTACTGTTTGCTTTCAATAAAGCAGTGAGGCTAGACAGTTCATATTTCAACAGAGGCACTGTTTACCTCATTTTTGAAGAGAGTAGTGCTTTCAAGAGATATCTAATGGATATGACCTCCCAGTCCTGTGTCCCCTTCTAGGCAATCTACACAGCTGATTGTGATGAAGTGGGAAGCTGTTATTTTACAGTAATCCTTACCCTCAGTACAGAAGTGTAAAGGAGAAAGTACTGCACCTAGAAAAATCTTGACTTAGGCTGTCTGCTACAGTGTGTCACAGGGGTACATTGAAAGGCTGTGCACACGTCAGGCAGTGGTGAGTAACAAATGATACACAAATCAATGTTTAGTCCTACTGAGTTATAAGCTTGGGAGGAATGTTTCACAACTGTCAGATCAGAAAGTTTGACCAAATTAAAGAGGTCATAGAAGCTCCACGTTATTTCAGGGTTGGGTCTGAAGACCTGCTGGGACACAGGAGTATACCTTCAGGCTTGAATAGATAGTAGTGTTTCCATGACTGTTTGAGACAGATGTGACCTTACCCTGACATACTGAAGATAATGAGAACCGCTGTAGGCACAGCTAGTGCCCTGCTTAGTTTAATGTAATATGGACATTAGTTGTTATAGCTTCAAATTGGCTTAAAGCCCTTGCATCTGCCTTCAAAGACAATCTAGAGACCCAGCAGGTCCTTCTGTGTTCCCTACAAACGGTGCTATGCTACCTCTGCATCACACCTGTGAGCTGTGGGCTCAACCTCTCGAATCTATCAACATGGTCTTTTGCAAGTCAACATGAGAGACCTGGTGCACTGACTTTCCATGGCCTACAGATGAAACAGTGGCAATCTCAGGCAGTACCAATGCCCTTAATTTGGGCAGTGCTAATGTGGGTGCAGATGGAGCTCTTGAGTATGAGCAGAGTGAGCTTACTGCTAGCAGCAAATAATGCTTTGAGCTCAAGGTGAAATGAGCTGGTGAACAGTAGATGGGATAAGGGGGCTGAGGCTAAGCCAGTTGTTTGCAGCTCATGTATCACATAATATTTGATGCTCTAATGTGTCACTGTTTTTATTTCTCCTTTAAACTTCCAGAACGCAACAAAAGTTTTGAAATGTCTTCCTTTGTGGAAACCAAAGGGCTTGAGCAACTTACGAAGTCTCCTGTGGAATTTGTGGAGTATCCTTGACTTTCAGAAAGCTGCTTTCTTAGCCTTTCTGTATCTGAGATCTGCTACAACTCATTATTGAAATTTGGAGACAGGAGCTGGGGAAATAGGGAACACAAATGAAATTTGTAGATTTGACTGTCTTCCCAGGTGCATTAATTGGCCTGAGTTCTGATGAGCTAATTTAAAAGCTGGCATGAGTCCTTGTGCTGTTGGCTAGGACTAGCAGGAATAGGCATAAACTACATATTGAAGACCTAATACGTTGTATTCTCATTGTTAAATTTATTATCCTATATGAGATTATATGAGTTATGGTGAGCAAATTGTCAAGGTGTGGCTGACTTGATTTTTTGTAACATCCTAAGAGAAAGCTTGCTTTCCCATCATACCTCTAGTTCTAAGAGCGCTACAGTGTTTCATTGCCACACAGTTCTTTTGTTTTCTTTAGATTTTTTAAAATAACTTTTAAAGAAAAGCTGAGGAGCATTCTGTTTTGACTTTTTGATGTTTCTCATTGTCTCTCAACATGCCCGCAGTTAAGAATAAATGGTCAAGATAAAATAGTGCCTTAAAGAAGATTAATGGAAAGCTGTTTCCACAGATAACCTGCAGTATGTTCTCATCTCTGATATTTGTATACTCAGCTATAAGAAGTGCACACTCATCATTCCTGTCTGCAGAGGCCAATTCTAATGCTTATTCCAGAAAACCACTTTCTTTTTAACTGAGCACCTCTTCCCACACCAGAGGAAGTTGCTATTTACAACTATTTGGCCTCTATAAATGCTATCTTAGGAAAATTCCAAATTAATAACCATAATGATAAATGGAATTTTATAAATGCTGTCTTTTTAATGCATATGCCTGTGCAATTTCCTTGCTTATTCTGAGTACTCTGTACAGGAACAAAAACCACCTCTAATTATCCTGTATTTATCATATCTCCTACAAAACTGTGGATGTCTGAAAGCATTACGGTTGCAGAAACCCAACAAGAAACCCACTGCCATTCTGTGAAGATCACCTGCACTTAAATATTGCAGTTGCCCCTCTCTGCAAAGTGATTTTTGTCACATGTACTATATCTTAACTACTCACCATTTAGATACAACAAAATGCAGCTAAGCCGAATTTACCCAAAGGGAACACGTGTAGATTCTTCAAACTACATGCCACAAGTCTTTTGGAATGCCGGCTGCCAAATGGTTGCGCTTAACTTCCAAACTGTAGGTAAGTTGTACTGGTCTCTGGATTTTGTAAGCTGTACCTTTCCACTTCTCTGATACAGTTTCTGATTCGTAGGTAAGAAAGGCTTTATGGACCAAAAGATGTCTAGTGATTGAATGATACTACAGAGCTGTTAATTAACATTTTCAACAGGATTTTTTGGTTTTTTTTACTAGAAACATCCATAATTACTATGCTGTAGCTAGTACAATACATATACATAATGCCCTCCATATTGTCATAATTTGTAAGTGGTCACCATTGAGCAGCATTTCAGATCTGACAGCAATTTTTTTCCTGTGTCTTCCGAACTCTCAGTATATCAAGACATAAGGGACATAGACAGCAAATTCTACTTTAACAGTGAGTGTTTAAGAAACAAAGACATTTAGACTCCTAGATGCACAAGTCACTTTTGAAATAGAATGTGTTGGCTTCCAAGACTGTGGCTATTCTGATACATACAAGTATTTCCATTTGCTGCATCTCAGGACATATCCTGGCCGTGTTCTGCCTCTGAGTATCTGGTACCATGGTATCATTCCCTTTTTGCTTTCCAGTCATGCCCATACACCACCTTTCCATGGAAAGTACAACCCTACATAGGCTAGGAGTCTGCAGAGTAATAAAATCCTCTTCAGGCCAGTTTCAACCAAGTATCAAGAGTTTAAAAACATAAGTACTCGACTGGATTGGGCACAACAATGCAACACTGAGGGACTCAAAACCTAAGTACCAAGGCTTCTTTTGAAATGTAAAAATGTTATCTATTGAGTTGTATTTGAAAGATGTCTTGCAGATATCTTTTTCTTGTCAAAAGAATTCACAAGAGTGGCTGTGATCACATCTGAAACCTCTTTTAACAAGCAACAGTGTGCCATAAATGGCTGTTGACTTTACAGGTGGTTTAAAATTACAATAAATAGTATTATTTCATTGTTTTTTATAAATTGTTATCTAACCAGCACGTTATTCTTATTTTAACACCTAGATTTGTCTATGCAAATAAACATGGGAATGTATGAGTACAATGGCAAAAGTGGATACAGGTTAAAGCCAGAATTCATGAGAAGACCAGACAAACACTTTGATCCATTTACTGAAGGTATAGTGGATGGAATAGTAGCTAACACCTTGTCTGTCAAGGTATGTATGCAGCTCGTGAAAATGCTCTCATGACAATGTCAGAGGATAGATACATTTCTGTTGTGCAGTGGCCTAGCAAATGACCATACTAAGTCAAGAAAATAAAATGCATCTCATTTCATGGAGTGACATTTCATTTTTAAATTGCAGATTATCTTCTGCCTCACATTTCATATTGTAGGATATATAAATGTATTTTTACTGTATGTATTCTTTTCCACAGAAGTAATTGGGAAGTGAGTGGATTTAAGAACAGTTTGGCTGTGTTTTTAGTTGCAGAGAGATGCATTTAAAACACAGTGTTATGAACTGGAATAGCTAGAATGGTACACTGTTTAATATAAATAACTTTTCATGTTCCCTTTAAGCTCTCCAGCAGAACTGTGGAACCACAAATGTCAGCTGCCAACTTGCTTTTCTTTGTTCCTTTCTAAGGATCTCTAATGAAGTTCAAGGACCACCAGGAATATGCATATTGAATACAATTTGTGTGAATGTTTAGATTTCATTGGCTATGACAGGATCACAAATTTATACTTAGTATAGCTCCAGTTATAAAACCATAAACTTTCTGAAGTCCCGTTATTTGATGGACTTGTCCATTAGAACTGTGTACATGTTATAGAATGCACCTGTAAAATAGTCTCCTGTTTTCTTTTCAAGAAAGCAAGTGTTTCCTCTCAGGCTGCAGACACAAGCTTAGCAGAGCAGCGCTGGGTGGGATATGAATGAAGTAATAATCTGATGACATGCATGGTAAACAAAGATAACTGTGGGGGAATGACATTTCGTAGTGACCTGTAATCATGGAAGCTTTCAGGTCCCCCTGTGGGTTTAGAGGCACTTTCTTCTGTAATTTTAGTAAATGGGGATGGAAGTCATTCAATAGCTATTAGGAGATACACAGCATCCTGGAGTGAACATCCAGGAGTCATGAGACAGCTGTCAGAAGTCAGATGCTTCTGCCTCCTTGGTGACAACTCTGCTGGTTATAATGTCAGTGCCCATACAAGATGCAGCTGAGAATGGATTAAGATTTGCTTTAGGCAAGCCTGAATTTGTTAAGGTGCAGCAACATCGGTGCACATTCCTATGCTTCTTCCATTTTCCGAAGTAATTGCAGACCTTTCTTTAACTTTTTTAAGCTGAGAGTTGTGTTTCCAGTTAACAACAAGAAAAGACCAACTGTTTTATGGTTGTATTGTTTTCATAGTTAAACTCCTCACCCTCTGTGAAAAGCCTTTATTAGAATACCAACTTTTCAGCTTGTTTTCTCTTTCACAATTAAAAACATATGTAGTTTGTCTGCTGCTTATACCTCTCTTCTTCCAGCATTTTTAACCTGTTGTTGAAACTGAATAGAAATGAGAGTTCTCAAAGATACTGTGTTGTGGAAGTAGCCAGATTGAGGAACGAGATCCAAATGAGTATTCATGCTGACGGAAGGACAGCAGCATGATCTCAACCACATTATCACTCATAGGGGAATTCAAGACCACAGGGTCACAGGAAATCAGGCCTCATAAGTTGTTTTTCTGTGTCTGCAATATTAAACAGTGGGAGTTTTTTGTTTATTGTGGTTTGGTTTTGGTTTGGTTTTATCTCAAATGCATACTATCTGATCATTAATGAGAATTATCCATCTGCATTTCAGCCACTCAGTTCCTGATCCACCAGAGCGGTCTCTAGTGATCCTCCCTTGTTTTCGTTTTAGATAATTTCAGGTCAGTTTCTTTCTGATAAAAAAGTCGGTACCTATGTAGAAGTTGACATGTTTGGACTGCCTGTGGATACTAGAAGAAAAGCTTTGAAGACTAAGACCTCTCAAGGCAATGCAGTTAATCCCATCTGGGAAGAGGAAGCCATAGTGTTTAAGAAGGTCGGTGTAACACGTGCTTCCCAAATGTGCATTGTGCTTGTTTTGTCACTGCCCAGTAGAGTAATTCTGTGGATTAGTGAAACTTTACATTTGTTAGAAAGAAGATAAAGAGATTCCAAATAGTTGTTTCTTGAGCTGTTTATTGTTAACCACTTCTGGAGTGATTTTGCTACTCCAGTCATGCCAGCTCCTACTAAAATAAATGAGTTTTAAGTCACCTTGATTCTTTCACTGACACAGCTAAAAACAGAAGACATGTTGATAGACCCATCTGCACGGCACAGTGCAGTGCCATGCTATGAACAAGCAAGCATAGATCCCAGAAGCAGTTTAGCTGTATTACCATGGCATTTTGCCTTGGCTGAACAGCCCTGTTGCAAAGCAGGTCCTGTTAACCTGCGAGCAAGATGACATGAATACAGCTATAACAATCTGGCTGTCCAAGCTAGCACATTCAAAGCAGTCTGTTTTCTCTGCTTAGTGCTAGATTGTGCTGTATAAATACAACCTAGGTGGTGAAACTACACAAATCCTATTCACTTGAAATAAGACGTAGGCTCCTAAAATATTCATGCTGTTTGAACTATATTGCTCAGACTCAATTCTCTAAATTTTGAGGGAGCAGAAAATACTGAGTATATTTTAGAATCATGCAACATGAATGTCTTATTGTGCTTCACCATACACTTGCAGCCAGTTTTCTAACAGGATTTCTGCGTTTTGCTTATTGAGCACTGTGGTTAAGTGGATCCTGAGTCCAAGTGTTTGTGAAACAGTTTCTTTCATATTTCTCTAGGAAAACCTAGTTCACAGAGATGTTTATACAATTGGTACTTGCAGCCCTGCTTTCTAGGGAGTACAGCCCTTTTCCCTGAATATTTGGCCTTCTGAATGACTTGCCTTTGGCAGCCTCCCAGAGCTTAAGTTTGGAAACATCACTAGCATTTTTCTTCTGTAATGAACTTCTAATTAGCGTACTTCTTTTTTCTATTTAGTTAACGATTGTGCCTGACTGCCTTTGTGCTCAGAAAAAGCATAGCATACTATTTTTAGTGATCCTGAAAATGTATTAGAGAAACTATTCATTTTGGATTGTTGACTTTTTTTTTCTTTCATGTCTAGATAAATTTTAGCATATGTTCTGAAAAAATGTTCAGGTTAAAAATATGTGTATTTGTATCTATATTTGCATTAAGTATGAACAGGAGATGAATTATGCTACACATTTTTTAAACTAATATTTAAGATTCCTATCTTAGTAGGGTAGTTTAAGTAACATTTTTTTATTTCTTGTTTTTTTTTTTCACTGTTTAGCCTCCTTTCTTACATAATGCCAAGAAATTATCCAGTGCTAGTAAACATCCTGCCCAATTAAACGTCTTTTGCCAGTGAGTGTGCTGCAGCACTGGAAAATTCTACTGTGGTTGACATGGTTCATGTAATTCATACATTCACACTCTGCAAAACAGCTTTGAGTTGCTTGTTGAGCTTGCAGCACTCAATATGCTTATCAGTGACTTCTCTCAGAAGGAAGTAATCCCGTTGGCACAAACACAAAGGAAAAAAAAGGGAAAAAAACCTCATGTAAGGCTGTGAGTAATAAACAGAAAACAGAGCAGCATTCAAGTGTGATAGGAGTTGAGCTGCCAAAGTCCCTTGAAAATGTAGGGTCAAACTGCTGGGTTCAACATAGTATGCACACATCCCACGTCAAGTTTATGATTGGAAAAATGTTTCTATGCGTTGTTTTGACACACAGGTGCATACACCCTAACCTCTTATATGGTAATACCTTCCTATGTATATGTAGATGTTACTGTCTGCTAGACTGAACTTTTATAGCCTATGTCTGGATGGAACTGTTTCATTCAGAGCAGAAAATATTGCCTTCTAGGTTGTCTTACCGTCCTTGGCATGTTTGAGGCTAGCAGTGTATGAAGAAGGAGGGAAATTTATTGGTCATCGGATATTACCGGTCTCGGCAATTCGACCAGGTAAACTTTTTTCTCCATTGAGATGGACGTTATGTAGTGAAAAGCAGCACCAAGCCAGAATGCCAGTGCTGTAAAGCAGTAGCCACTCTGCAAATTTATACCAACTGGGGATTTGAATAATCTATTTTAACTTTGAAAGGAAGATACTGTATTTCACCCGAAATATAAGTTTACAATAAACCAGGAAAACCAATAGAATTAAGCATCAAAGGCATGGTTGGCAGTTATTTGTCTTCAATAGATCATCTGCATATTCACAGTTTTATGCTAAAAAGTTCAGTTGTCCACTTTTGAGTGGAAAGAGGGCAGCAACAGTCAATTTTTATGTCATCTTTCTGAGTATGGGAGATTGCTGGAAATTAAAGTAAAATATGCTCTTCTAATATTATTTTACATGCATGCAAGGACTGACTTACTGTCATTCTTTTGTATCAAGCTGCTGTATCTCTGCAAAACCTTTATATCAACTTAAAGTTACTTTCATCTTTATTGCTGAAAATTAAAACAAAACATTACTGGTCTCTTCCAAATCATATAATTCTTTCTATTATAATTAGTGGCCACTTAATTGAAAATTATCTTGTGCCCACAGCCCTTATTTTCTGGGCCAAAGACTTGTTAGAGATCATGTTTCAGAAAGATGCAGTGACATTGGCATTTTGAACGAAGGAAGTGTTCAACTTCAGTGCTAGCTTTTCCAGTGAGGGGAGGGGCAGGGAGAAAACTAAATTAGGGCAAGCATATGGGCCATAAACATGCTCCCAGCTTTACTCACACTGGAAAAAGAGGAATATCTGTATCTACACTGTTCCTTATGTAGCCAGTCCCAGCAGTAGCACGAAACTCACATGTCCCTGATCTAAGAGTTGTTGTCTGTTTTACTCCTCAAGGCCTGATCTCAGGTAGTGTATAGGTCAGTCCCTTCTCTTGTGGCAGGTGACATCAGGGCTCTTCTAAGAAGAGCTTCAAGCAACTTTGTCTTAGCTGGTGTGGGTCGCGTGGCCTCACTGCAAGTGCAAACAGGCTGGCCATGGGAGGTGGCTGCTGGGCATGTCACTGCTGCGGGATTTCTTCACTAGTTGTCACTCTCTTTCCATTCTCCTTCCCTTTTCTCTACCCTGCTCTTGCCCATGCATTCCTGGCCATTCTGTTGTGCCAGCTCTGCCAATTTCCACACCTTTTTCGTGAGCCAACTCAGTTTATCAACCCAGCAGAAAACTCTTAACTTTTTTTTGCCACTTTTATTTTCTGCTGGTTTAATAGATATAATTGCCTCATGGAAGATCTGCCATGCTCCAGAGAAAGACAGCTGATTGGAGGGGAGAAAGAGGGATGTGAAGAATTTCCTTCTCCTGGTAAAAGTGATGCTCTTACTATGGCTGGTCTCCTTTCATGGCACCCACCCTTCACGGAGCACAGAGTCCATTCAGCAGAGCACTGACTCATGTACCTGGTTTTAAGCTTGTGCTTTTTAGAACAAAGGCCACTGTGTTAAATCATACAAGGACTTCCAAGGGCTTTTACCCGCAGGGCTATCCTCTGTCCTTTTGACTCTAGTAGTCATTAGTTTACAGCATGTGATGGAGGACAGCATGTTGATTTTAGTTTGTGTACATGATGAAAACTTGTTGGAGGAGCTTGAGAGAACTGAGAAACCTTTGTAATATGTAATTTCTCTCTTTTCTGAGACATTATTGAAAGCTGTATCATACTGTCACACAAATCCACAGAATTATCATTGTTACCAAAGCCAGGATTTAACTGTTGGCAAGGAAGCTGTCCACATCAGCCAAGTGAGGATCCCCCTAGATAAGTTCATCATGCTCGTGACTTGTATCCTGACGCTACCCCTATGTGCATCTCCATAATCACGCCTTCAAAGAGCAGCTTTAGCCATGATGTGAGAGGCCTCAGTTTGTGAGGCAGAGGATGCAGCTTTGCAGCACTGCAATGCTGTAGGAGTTTGTTGGATCTGGAAGTCCTTTCTCCCATTCCTATCTGTGCACTTCCATCACTGTCTGGCATTAGTACACCTGACCTTATGGTGAGGCATTTTGGGGAGCTGTATTGATGGAACCACTCTTTGTGGTTTCTGAAGGTTGTTTTTTCTGGAGTTTAGCTTGCTGAGCTGCTTATCTACAAAGTCAGAAAAATGTCAATGAACAAGAGAAAATGCAGGAGATGGTGGTAAGTGGCTGGGATAAAGAGTTGAGGGCTGCCCCATCTGTGGTGCCTTGCTATTAACTCGGCTAAGCTGAACTGTAATGTGTGTCCTTACTCTTACAAGGTAGCCAGTTTTCAAAACAATCAGAAAATACTCTTTTTTATTTTCAGATATGTTTGTAAGGTTGGTCACCATGATAGGATTCACACACACGCACACACTGTGGTTATAGTGCCACATTGTCTATTTCTTTTAAATTAGACATTATGTTGTGGATGGCCTATTACATCTCAGTTTTACTTGACTGTTCAGATTCCTGAGTATTACAGGAGTCACTTTTGAAAATGAGATAAAGAGTTCTGAAATAACAAAAAAATGCAGCTAAAGGTAATAAAATAGAATGCATCAAAAATTATATAAATGACAATTTTACAGGTGAAAAAATAAAGGGAAAATACTATTTTAAACTGCAGTGTCATGTGCCTTTCTAACAGTCTCTTGTTTGTATACTTATCTCTGAAACCCTGCAGGTAAATCTTTCCCCAGCAGAAAAAGTCCCTGGGGTTGCTTCCTCTGTTGGAGCCACACTATAAATAATAAATTACATTAGAAATGCCTGTGGAAAAGTTTATGCTCTGAACTGGTTGTTTTTTATTTTACAGGCTATCACTACATCTGTTTGAGGAATGAGAGGAACCAACCTTTGACACTGCCAGCTCTCTTTGTGTACATAGAAGTCAAAGACTATGTACCTGATACTTATGCAGGTAATTCAGTGACATTTTCCTACTGAGGAATATAAAGGTTAATTGAAACAAAATGAATGTGTGTAGATGTCTTGCCATATTGGGATAACAGTCCTGTGAACAAACCTCTGCATCTGATGCATCATTTTGTCTCATCGCTCATACAAGATGGCCTGATTTACAGTGGCCTGCCTGAGGTTTAGGATTAGGGCCAACTCTCTTATTTTCAACAGACCTTGTATGACTCTACAGGAGGAAATACCCCAGGCATTTGGCATCGAGACACAAATGAAACTTTCCTTACACAATACAGCAGTATGTAATTGTTTCCTTAGCAAAGTGCTGTGCTTAATGTAGAGCATTGTATTTTGGAATCGGCTCTAAACAAAGATAGGTTTAAAGACCATACTCTGCATTTTCAGTGAAAAACAATATTCTGTGTAGCTGTTTTGATTTAAAAAACTAACCAAACAGGATTTTTACTATGCTCCTCTGTGCCTCATGTAAAGCAGGACCCTAGTTGGCTGATGTAAGCTTTAAAAATCCGTCCTAAAACACTGTGCAAAATGCACATCCACAAGACCCAAGCACAAACTCAAAGAGGGTTCATGTTAGAGTATTTGTGCATGAATGGTGTGCTCCCCTCCGTTGTTGTTTCTAGGACCATCTCTCAGCAGCAAATCTGTACAAAAAAGACAGTTTCTTTCTTAAAACCTGAGGAGCAATGGAACCATAACATAAGGGGTTTGAAACTGAAGTATTTGCATTATTTCTAGATGTGATTGAGGCCTTATCCAATCCAATCAGATACGTAAACTTGATGGAGCAAAGAGCTAAGCAACTGGCCGCACTGACTCTGGAAGATGAAGAAGAGGTAAAGAAAGAGGTAAGGGAGGTTTCAGAGTCTCTGCATATTCTGTCGTAGTATTTAAAAGCACCTACTTTGCTTAGAAAGACAAATAATTGAAAGTCCCTGAGAATGGTATGTGTTGATTATTTGGACACCAGTAAGCATCTCACCTAGAATGAGACTAAGAGTACATTATAGCCGAGAAGCATTGCACTGTGTGAGTGGTTTCACTAAACACAGCATGTTGTGCATGTAGCAAGTTACTGTTCAGAGGTAAAGAGACACCAAAAGCTGAATGAAAAACCATGTCGTATGGATGCTGATTTGCAACTTTGTTATGCAGTAAACGAAATCTTCGTAAGTCATTGCCTGTCATTTTCCAGTGTGATGATGAAGTTCCCCTTACAAAACAGACAACTCTGTGTCAGTAGTGTCTCCTGAAAATACTACAAATTTTCCAGAATTTCAGGCTCTCTTTCTGGAGAGGTTATTCTGTTTGAAAACAGAATCACAGAATCTTAGGAGTTGGAAGGAACCTCAAAAGATCATCCAGTCCAACACCCCTGCCAGAGCAGGATCACCTAAACTAGGTTGCAGAGGAACGCATCCAGGCAGGTTTTGAATGTCTCCAGAGAAGGAGACTCCATAACCTCTCAGGGCAAAACATTCATGTATCTCTGATTATGATGTCTCTAAACATTCTCTATGACCAAATGTGTCCTAAAGAGAGCCAGTATAATCAAACAAGAATTCAGATGGGAAGGGGCCTCTGGAGACCAACTGATTCAGCCCTTCATAGATCTTAGAAAGAGAGATGGAAAGGGAAGAGACCATAGAGTAAATAAATGTTCAGGCCTATTCTGGCTTAGCTGAATGCTATGGGGGCCACATTTTCAGTTGTTAGGTAACTGTATGGCTATATGTGGTCACCTACGGACTAACCTGTAAACTCTGTTTTTCTGTGTAATTGGAGGTGTTGGGCATACAAATGCATAGATGTTATTTTGAGCATAATTGAGAGTACTAGCAGTTCAGTTTTTGTTTCTGATAAACTCTATGCACATTCAAATGTTCAGTCTCTGTTCCAGACATTATCATTAGGACGTCTTCTAGCAGTCTTGAAAATATGAACCTTGTCTTTTAAAGATTGCTTGTGTCAGATGAATCAAAAGGCACTCAGTACAGGTCTCTAGCAAAGATGAAGAAATGCTTTATAATCCTAAACTGCCCTCAGCTCTGGTGCCTGTTGTCTTCAATTCTCAGATGTCCAAAGCCTCATTGAACTAGATTTTGTAACCAAGAATACATTCCTAAAGCAGACCAGATGAGCGAAAGTCATTACAATTCAGTGGCCAACAATTTACTCTTTGTGCAGTGTCACAAGTTCGTCTGAATGAGGACACTGTGAAATGCTCAGTAGTATCTTAGACGTTTATCTAGGACACTCTACACATGAGATTCTGTTTTAATAGCAAAGTCTTTTTTTAACATAATCCTTTAAATGCCTTAGAGGTCATTTTTACTTTTGAAAAAGTACAGATTTTCCTGGTCTGTACAGGCTTATTTGTTAGTTAGAAAAATTCTGTCACAGAGTATCTTCTAAAGCAAATGGGAAGAAGCAAAGATGAATTACAGTGCTCAGTTAATGCTACCGTGTGTCAGGGAGCTTGAAAGTTCATAGGATAAGGATCTTTTCTTGGAGTAGCAGAGAGATATTTTTTTAAAAGAAAACTGTAATGATTGTAGTGGTGCGTTTGCTAGAAATGTATAACCTTTCAGTTAGATGAAATTTAGTGCGATGAGGAATGGCAGCAGGTACCTGTCCG